TCTTGTCTTAGTCTCCCGAGTAGCTGGGATTACAGGCACCCACCACAATGCCTAGCTATTTTTAGAGACAGCAGTCTCCCTCTGGCTCAGGTTGGTCTTGAACTCCTGAGCTCAAGCAGTCCACCCATCTCAGCCTTTTAGAGTGTTAGGATTACAGGCATAAGCCACTTCACCCCACCAATATTTTTTCTTTAACACAATTTAGAAAACTCAAAAGCAGAAAATCCTATTTGATTTACCCATATTCTTGCTAGGTATGGTTTTTTAGCCCCTTCCTAGTGTTTCAAGTATTCTTATTTTGTTTTCATGTTTTAGAGAACATTCTTAACCATTCTTTTAGGATAGGCCTGCTAGTGACAAATTCTCTTTGTTTTTCATTACCTGATAATCTCTTGATATCCCCTTCATTTTTGAATGATATTTTGGCTGGTATAAGATTTTGTGTTGACAGTTCTAACACCTGGACAAATGTGGCACTTCCTCTGGTCTCCATAGTTTCTGAAAAAAAATATGCTGTCATTCTAATTGGCTTTTTCTTTCATGTAAGTCATCATTTAGCTCTGCTTTTGAGAAATTTTGTGCCCTTGGTTTTCAAAAGTTTAGCATGGATTTATTTTAGTTTATTCTATTTAGGGTTTGCTCAGCTTCTTGAATCTGTATGTTGGTGTCTTTTGCCAAAATTAGGAAGTCTTCAGCCATTGTTTCTCAAGTATTTTTTCACCCTACTGCTTTTCTCCTTTCCTTCTAGAATTCTGATGACATAAATGTTAGATATTTTGTTATAATCCCAAAAGTTCCTGATGCCCTGTTTATTTCTTTTCTTGGTCTATTTTCTCTCTGTTGTTTAGGTTGAGAAATTTCTATGATTCTGTCTGTAGCTCACTTATTTTATCCTCTGTTCCCTCCATTCTTCTGCTGAGCCCACCTACTGAGATTTTAATTTCAGTTATTATATTTTATGGTTCTAAAATTCCTATTTAGTTATTCCTCTTACTTGCTTTCAAATTTTTCATTTGTTTCAAGCATATTTGTAATTGCTTATTAAAGTGTTTTTTCTGTGGTATATGTACACCATGGAATACTACACAGCCACAAAGAAAGAGGGAGACTTTGCCTCATTCATGTTTACATGGATGGAGCTGGAAAATGTCCTCCTTAGCAAAGTATCTCAAGAATGGAAGAAAAAGTATCCAATGTACTCAACACTGTTATGAAACTAATTGTTAGCTATCTTAGGAAAGCTACAATCCAAATGGAGCCCTAGACTACAGGGAAAGGGGAGGGGGGAGGATGGGTGAAGAGAATGATATTGTGGGGATCACACCTATGATTTATCCTATTAGGGTACATGTGAATTTGTCTGAAGGTTGAATATAAATGTCTTAACACAACAATTATGAGAAGGACATGATGGCTATGTTAGCCAGTTGGATGAGAGTTTTCCAAACTGCATATGGAAGCAACACACTGTATCCTATGATAGAATTAATGTACACAATTATGATCTAATAAAAAAAAGAAAATAAATAAAAAAAAATAAAAATAAAAATAAGATATCCCCTGAAAAAAAAATAATAATAAAGTGTTTTTTCTACGGCTGCCTTAAAATTTTTTCTTCTTCTTTTTTAGATACAGTAGCACCTTGTCACCCAAGCTAGAGTGTCATGGCATCATAGCTCACAGCAACCTGAAACTCCTGGGCTGAAGCCATCCTCTTGCCTCAGCCTCCCAAGTAGCTAGAACTACAGATATGTACAACCACACCCAGTTGATTTTTCTCTTTTTATAGAGATAGGACTCTCTCTTTCTGAGGCTGGTCTCCAGCTCCTAAGCGCGAGCAATCCACCACCTCAGCCTCCCAGAGTGCTAGGATTACAGGCATGAGCCACCACGCATGGCCTGCTTTAAAATCTTTTTCCTTTCTTAGCTTTTGGGCTTTTTTTTTTTTTACATCTATCAACATGGATAAATTTGTGAAACATAAGGAGCATTGTTCCTAAAGCAAAATATAAAATATTAATACAACATAAGCCATATTTATAATTTTTTGAGACAGACTCCCACTATGTCACCCTTGGTAGAAGACTGTGGCATTACAGCTCACAGCAACCTCAAACTCTTGGGCTTAAGCAATTCTCTTGCCTCAACCTCCCAAGTAGCTGGGACTACAGATCCTCGCCACAACGCCCAGCTATTTTTTGTTTCAGTTGTCATCGTTGTTTGCCTGGCCTGGACAGGGTTTGAACCCACCAGCCTTAGTGTATGTGGCTGGCGCAGTAACCACTGTGCTATGGGTGCCAAGCCCATATTTATAATTTTTTTTTTTTGGCAGCTTTTGGCCCGAGCTGGGTTTGAACCCGCCACCTCCGGCATATGGGGCTGGCGCCCTAATCCTTTGAGCCACAGATGCCGCCCCATATTTATAAATTTTTATGGAGAGAAATGGCATTGTTCATGAATATATACATGTATAATAAAGGTATAAATACATAGGAAGGATACAAAAATCCTCAGAAAAATATGGAATGCTTCACAAATTTGCATGTCATCTTTACACAGGGGTCATGCTAATCTCTTTAGTATCATTCCAATTTTAGTATATGTGCTACTAATAATTTTGTCAAATAATTTTAATACCTCTGTTATCTCAATATTGGCACTACTATCTTTGTTTCATTCAGTTATAGATCTTTGAATATGTTTATTAATGTTTAATTGAAACCTAGACATTTTCATGTTATAAGACTCTGGATTTTTTTTCTCTTTGAGACACAGTCTCCCTCTGTGCCCTCGTGCTGTGGTGTCATAGCTCACCGTAATTGCCAACCTTTGGGCTTTAGCAATCCTCTTGCCTCAGCCTCCCGAGTAGCTGGGACTACAGACACCTAACAAAATCAGCTAGTTTTTCTTTTTAGCAGAGACAGGGTCTTGCTCTTGCTCAAGATAATCTCAAACTCCTGAGCTCAAGCAATCCACCCACCTCAACCTTCCAGAGTGCTAGAATTACAGGCATTAGCCACCATACCCAGCCTGAGACTCGGGATCTTATTGAATAACTTTTTTAGTTGGTTTTCTCTGACACCACTCAGGCAGAGGAAGGGGGAACAGAGGAAGAAGGAGATGCCACATCATAACTGCCAAGTGCAGGCAAAAGTCCACGTTCCACACATAGGAACTGTCACCTGAAGAAGGGAACTGATTTTTACTCCTGGGAGTTCTGGATCCCTTGACACCAAAATTGGGATGGCCTCATTACCACTGGGTAGAGGTGAAATCCAGTCTTCCCGCATAATCCTCACTGAAGGGAGAGTAAGGGGAAACCTTATTACTGGTCAAGAGGAATAAAAATCATGACCTCCTATTTCTTTACCTTGGTGTGGTATTGGGGAAACTTGTTATAGCCCCCTGAGGATGGAAATGTAGGCTCCTACTCAGCCTTTGCTAAGTGGGTGGGGTCACAGTTAATTTGTGTGCACATGTGTTGATATGATGTTTGGCTGGAGTAGAACACTCATTGTCTTAGAATTTTCCATCTTGCTAAGCTGTAACTTTCCTGCTCCTATATAGAGAGAGAACAGGATTTTACTAGGGTTTTAAAAAAATTGTGCCCTTGGTATTTCCAGGTTGCAGCTTCTTCAACTCCAACTCTGAGATATGTTAGGCAAAAAGGAAACAGAAAACTTTATACTGTGTTGTAGCCAGGATCCTGAGGTTCCTCGCTAATTTGCCTGTTCTCTGGCTTTCAAAGTATTATGTTCATTTTATATACAATGCCTAGGGCATTTAGTTGTATCTTAACAAGATGAATAGAAAATATTACACCATCTTCCTGGAAGCATAAGTATGTATTTTGAATAAATACTACAAACTATTCCCTGTATCCATAAAACACATAATTTCTCACTCCTCAGTCTAAACAGCCTGATTTACCATTATAGAACTGTACATAAGTACAAAAGAAGTATAGAATAATGTTTGGAGATGTTTAGAAAAATTCAAACAAAAAGCAAACAGGAATTTATCAAGTGCAAGAAGATGTTTGCCTGAAAATATAAGGAGTATGAGAAACACTCCTGTGTCCCAGCCCTCCTGCTAAGCCCTATGATGAGGGCTCAAGACGCTTTCCATACAGCAGTGAAAACAAACCAACAATGCTACATACAAAAAAACAGACCAACTCCAGAAACATAAGAGAAGTGAGAAAACCAGTCACATATTATTCTATCAATGTAAGCTGAAAAACAAAACTAATCACAATATTTGGAATCACCTAAGGCTTTCCTTGGGGGATGACAGTGGAAGAAATTACCAGAGGGTCTCTAGAAGGTCTTTATGGAACAGTTCTATTTATAGACATATGTGGTCTTACATGCTTTGGCTCTCTTTATATTAATTTATAGAGCTGTAAATTTGAGTTGGATACTTTTTTTGAAAATGTACTATGTGCCATTAAAAAAGTTTATTTAAAAAGAAAGATGCACCCTATCCAGTACTCAAATAATAAGGATACATATGACCAGAATTTATTTTGTATACTTACAAGACATATTGTTATCTTTTTCATGAAAACACAATGAGGTAGACTTGGCACCCATAGCACAGTGGTTACAGCGCTGGCCACATGCACTGAGGCTGGTGGGTTCTAACCCAACCTGGGCCAGCTGAACAACAAGGACAACTACGACAACAAAAAGCCAGGCATTATGGCAGGCACCTGTAGTTTCAGCTATTTGGGAGGCTGAGGAAAGACAATAGCTTAACCCCAAGAGTTTGAGGTTGTTATTAGCTGTGACACCGTGATGCCATGGCACTCTACCAAGGGTGACATAATGAGACTGTCTCAAAAAAAAAAAAAAAAAAACACCACAATGAGGTACCACATCACAGCCATAAAATTGGCGCCAAAAAAAAAAAAAAAAAGTTAAAGTTGACAACATGAACTATAGGGGATGGTGTGGAACAACAGAAACCCTGATACGCTGCTGGTAGAAGTTGGTAGAAATACTTTTGAAACTATTTGGCAATAACTAGAAAAACTGAAGGCATGAATCCACAGAAGACTTGGAAATTTCACTCCTAATCTGAAGAAAGGTATGCTAAAGTACAGTAGGATATGTGCAAAGACATATATATCTTTTTTTTCCCCTGGGTTTTGGTTATTATGAATAATGAACTAAAACCTGGAAAGGCCATAAATGTCCATCATATTAAAATGAATTGTTACATTCATTAAATGGAATATTAAACAGCAACAAAACAAATTTACTATAAAATGGATAAATCTCACAAATATATTCTTTAGCTGGGCATGGTGGCTCATGCCTGTAATCCCAGCGCTCAAGAAGGCTAAGGCAGGTGGATCAACTAAGTTCAGCAGTTCAAAATCAGCCTAAGCAAGAGACCCTGTCTCTAAAAAAAAAAACAGCCAGGTGTTGTGGCCGGTGCCTGGAGTCCCAGCTACTGAGGCTGAGGCAAGAGAATTGCTAGAGCCCAGGATCACTTGAGGTTGTTGTGAGCTGTGACACCCCAGCACTCTACTGGGTATAACAAAGTGAGACTGTCTCAAAAACAAAACAAAAATATATATTGTTCAAAAAAAAACACAACAAAAAATATGTTGAATATGATTCCATTTATGAAGTCAAAATAGGATAACAAAATTATAGAGCTCAGGCATTCACACATAAGTGGTAAACACAATGAAAAGTGAAAAATTATTGTCCTAAAAATCAGGTGAGGGCATAATGGTGCAGGACTGTAGTCTCAGCAATTTGGGAGATTGAGGCAGGATCATTTGAGCCTGGGAGATCAAGGCTACAGTATGTCATGATTGCTTCTGTGAATACTCATTATACTTCAGCCTTGGAAACAGTGAGATCCCTCTCTCTAAAATAAAATACAGGCCAGGCAAGATAGCTAATGCCTATAATCCTAGCACTCTTTGAGGCTGAGGC